AACGCATTTCGCGGACCCCCTTTATTCAGCATTTTCTATCCGAGCGGGTTGGTCCGGGTATGGAAAAATCAGGCAGGAATCAACCAAAGTAAGGTTTTGACTACGAACCACGGGTACAGCAGTGCCGCTGTCAGCGCTACCTTTTGAATCGGACGGCTAAGTGCGTGCTCACCGCAGATTTCACGACACAAGTGGCCAGCCTCTACAGAATATAATAGCATTCTGGCTACAAAACGATCAGCCGGTTGCAGTTGTCACTAATTATCAATTATGAACCATCAGCCATCACTATGAACTACTAGTTACCAGATTTGGAGGCTGGCGTAACTTGTGCTGAGAGGTCTGTAGTGAAGACTTCTCTAGCTGCCGGATACGAAGGGTATCTACCGCAGGTTAGATTCCACAACATGCTATTTGGTTGGGGCACTCCTTGGTTTTTGAGTGAGTACATCAGCGGAACTAAATACGTAATGAACACAAGAATACCGAAGAAGTCAGCAGACAGACTAACACATAATGGCTGGCCAATTCCGCTTCACTCGATGAAGTCGATTCACTCGAAATGACATGATGGCTTCTTCTTCATCGGAGAACACAAATGGTGACACGGCTCCGGATGACGACGCACCAGGAGTGGTAGCAGGGCTCACTCGAGGATTGGAGAAATCTTGAATATAAAATCAAAAGAATCATCAGCACAATTTGTGGAAGCAACTTACCAAACACTGAAGGGCTATTCGGCGTACGGGAAACAGGTGTTAGCAGAGCAGTGCTTTTTTGGCGGAACATCGTCCCTCGAGGATGAAATTCGCCACGGGAACCTGGGAGAAGCAATTATTCTGCAGAAAACAGGGAATGAAAATTGAATCTGAAATAATTCAACTCGAACTCACTGAATTTCCTCACTAGAACAAATTCGTAACAACCGGTATTTGCAATAGATTGTTGAAGGTATAGTGGTTTACCAAAAACGTTCACGTCTTCCAACTCATACTCCATCTCTGAAAAAATGATTGGATACCCTCAGTTTGCATTGAAGCAACAGTCCCACCATGTTTCACAAGAATGCTGGGTTGTGAACAAAACTTTCGCCCCAGCGGGACTAGAACCCG